AGTGTGTTCGTTTGTACGGCGCCAAGACAAGACGCGATAAATCGACCCAAGAAGTTCGATTGCCTGCCGCCGAACCAGCGCGTAAGTATAGACAAGCCCTAAGACAAACAAGTTTGTTTGCATTTACGGGAGATAATGCTGCCCACTTCTTAATTACAATGTCACCTGAAAGTGAGAACAGGTGTTTGCATGGAATTGCAGTAGCTGGCATTGCAAGATACTTACAATGCACTAAAGATTCATATGCCTCTTCATGCTTCGGCCATTGTTCCAGAGGACATGCTTCCATGCTGATCGTGCTCGTTAAAAAATAATATGTTAATTAAATTTGTGACTGAACTCCTTGGGAGAGAATAGTATGTCTCCTGCTCTGTTTTACCTCCATTCTGCCATATAGTTCATGTTATAGCAGTCTTGGATGATGACCCAGCACATGTTGTTCGTTTTAAGAACACTTTCACTGCAAATTTGACAAAATACAAAGAAGACACCAGTGTGAGATTTCTAAAGCTAGCTACAGCACTCGACACAAGACTTAAGAATCTGAAGTGCCTTCCAAAATCTGAGAGGGACGAGGTGTGGAGCATGCTTTCAGAAGTCTTAAAGGAGCAATTCTCTGATGCAGAAACTATAGAACCCAAATCACCAAAAAAGAAAATCAATCTTCTGTTGATGGCATCTGACTCAGATGATGAAAATCAACATGCGTCGGTCTGCTCTGCTTTGGATTGTTATTGAGCAGAACCCGTCACCAGCATGGACACATGTCCTCTGGAATGGTGGTTGAAGCATGAACGGGCATATGAATGTTTAGCACATCTGGCACTCAAATATCTTGCAACGCCGGCTACAAAAGTACCATGCCAAATGCCTGTTCTCACTTTCAGGTGACATTGTAAATAAGAAGCAGGCAGCAGTATCTCCCATAAATGTAAACAAAATTGTTTGTGTGAGCAATTGGCTGAACAAGAAGTAGGACTAAGTGGACTTGTAGGTTCTAAAGTTTTACATTGTTTTATTTTTGAATGCATTTATTTTTTGTACATAATTCTACATTTGTAAGTTCAACTTTCATGATACATGTATTGTAGTGCAATTTCTTTATTAGGTGAATTGAAAAATACTATTTATTTTGTTTTTTACGGTGCAAATATTTGTAATAAAAATAAATATAAAGTGACCATTGTACACTTTGTATTCTGTGTTGTGATTGAAATCAATATATTTGAAAATGTAGAAAACATCCAAAATATTTAAATAAATGGTATTCTATTATTGTTTAACAGCGCAATTGATCACGATTAATTTTTTTTATCGCTTGACAGCAGTAGCACATACTGTTCTATGTTAAAAAAGGGAAATCTCTTTGTTCTTTAAGCTAGAGAAGCGGACTCTAAATGTTGCTTGGGAACTATGTACACCCCTCTCTCCAATATCATGCAGAACGTTAACTGGAAGAGCTTTGCTGAATTGTTGACTGGTACTGGGGATGAACATAATGTAGCTAATGGTCTCTGCTGAGGAAAAGACACCACTTTTGTATGCTGATCCCCACCCCACTGCTGCGATTTCCTCTGTGGATTTTGCTAGCATTTAAATTTCATTGACTTAACTGTTTGCTCTTCTGGAGAATACAGACAGAACTGGGACAGGAAGTCAGTTGTTACTGTTGTGCTCTGAGTTTAAGGGTTGCTGATTGTCAGCCACCTTTCTTCCTGTGTAGTCTGGAGTGTTTTGCCTTTTTAGTGAGAATTTTCCATGCAGAGCTTAAAGATTTGGTTAAGAAATTGTTCTTTAGGTAATTCTCTTTCTACTCTGTTTCCCCTTAGTAACTATAATAGTTAACTTGCAGTTAGGAGTCAATCATTTGTATATTTAGATTTTAAAACTGTCCTGATCAATAATCTCAAATTTCATTAGTACCGCTACTGTCATTTCACACTTCTATTGCATTAGTACCTGCAGGTTTGACCCACTGTGCTAGGTGCTGTACGTACACATAGTCAGTGACAGTCCCTGTCCCAAACAGACAGTCTATAATAATGTGTAATGTGGCAAAATGCTGACACAAGATTCTTCCCGGCTAGCTGTTCCAAGATCCCACTCCACTCCCACCCCATTCACTGTTAGTCTTGGGGAAAAACACAGGCCTTTCAATATGGGCCTCAGTGGACCAAGGATTAAAATAAACACTGGTGTCCTCAAGAAAGCCCAGTCATGACCCACCTGTCATTTAAACCAGGAAGGTACTAGCTTGAGCACCTCTGCTGAGTGATAGTCATAGAGGATAAGGCCAGCAGAGACCACCAGATCATCTAGTTTGATTTCCTGTGTATATTACAAGCCACCAGCACCGTTTGGCTGCTGCACACAAAACCCAACCCAAAGAGTTTGCTGCTGAGGTAGTGGAGGGCCAAACCCTTCAAAGAATGATAGGTCAAAATGAACACCTTCCTCATCCCCCTGGAATTCAGATGTTGGCTGGTGTGCATTGTGCATCATGGGTGTAATGGGCTTGCGGCAAGAAAACCCACATTAGTGTAGGCAGCTGCAGTCCTCATGCACTGACCTTTTGGAATGACCAGCCTGATGTACAGCCTCTGGCAGCAAGACAGTGTTGATCTGCTGAACTGTAGGACAAGGGCCACAGCTTTCTTGCCAAGTAGTCTCTCTTTGTTTTCAAGACCCGGCACTTAGCCTTGTATAACACTTGCTGCTCTATAGAGAATTGCTCTGATCTACCCTTCCTACGCCCATTGAGGCAAATCCAGCCACCACCTCCACAATCACAGACTACCTTGTGTGCAACAGAAGTCAATGGCGTTCTGCTGTGCAGGGTGGGAAGGAAGGATCTGGGGAAATGGCCTGACAGGATGGCAGTTCCTGAAAACCCCAACATTCAGCTCTTTGTGGCCTGCCTGACTGCTCCAGTGCAACAAGGGAAGATTGCAGATGGAATGCTGGGTTCTTCAGCATTCCATGCTAATAGTCTCTATCTCTTATCTAGCGTGCTTTATGAGCAGATTTCAGTATGCTTTACAAAAGGGGCCAGGATCATTATCCCCATTTTACAGGTGAGGCAATTGAGGCGTAAAGGGGAATTGAATTGTCTAAGGTCACCAAGCAGGGCAGGAAATAGAACCCAGGTCTCCTGAGTCCCAGTATGGTGCTCTAACCACTAGGCCACACTGCCTCTGGGGATTGTCCTTACACTGTCTCTTCCACTGCTCCCGGGCTGGGGGACAGCGTTCCATTGCTCCCCCATAACCCCTTCTTCTTTCCAAACTCAGCTACCCAGGAGAAAATATGAGAATTTATCCTTTTGCCAACAGCCATCTACTGGGAAGTTCATAAATTACAGAGGAATAAACAGACACTAATGTGCGCTTGCATGATAATGTGTTTGATGGAAATATAATCAAAAGGGGAAGAGGTTGCTATATCCGTAGCACATCTCAGTAAACAAGCACCATATCCTGTTAGTGGCAGGCTTCCTTACCCCTTCTGAAGCTTACTTCATGCTTTTCATTCTCTGAATGCTGTGTGCTAACCCAGCACGCTCATCAGTGAATTAGATGCTGTCTTTCAGATTTCACTTTAGAGACCCAGCTGGCTCCATCTCTAGGTTTTGAGAAAGTGGCTGAAATGCCACTGGTCAAAATGACTTTTTGAAGGATAACACAACATGTTTTCAGCTCCCTCGGTGATGGTAGATAAATAAATAAAATACATTCTCCCTCTAGCAGAGTAAAAAGGGACTGCATGGGGACAACAGAATGATCTCTGACTCCCCAACGTATCAAGATCAAGATTAGTAAGATGGTGGATCCTGCATTGTATTTTATTGACTTTGTGCAATATCTGGCCTGTTGACGGTATTACATCACTCCTGGCTTGGTCTATTTATGTTGGTTTAGAGGTAAAGATCAAAACATCCTGTGGCTTCTTATTTTCGGAAGTTCCCTGG